GTGTGTGTGTGTGTGTGTGTGTGTGTGTGTGTGTGTGTCGTGTCGTGTCGTGTGTGTTGTGTGTGTGTGTGTGTGTGTGTGTGTGTGTGTACGCGTGTGTGTGCGTGTGTGTCTATGTGTGTTTATCTGACAGCAGGCAAGAGGTGCTGCATTGTTACAACATCAACTGCAGGCCTTTAACCGATACAATCCTTTGTATCGTGTACAAATGTGTGTGTGTGTGTGGTGGTACTGATACCTATGAGATGGGGACGTGTCGAAGCAGGTGGCGGGTTTTGCATTGGGCTTGCCTTGGGTGGGAAACAACTCAAAGAACAGCTGTGAAGATAGGAGTCGTGTATGCGGATGAACGTATGTGAGTGCTCGCGTTGAAAGGTTGGGGAAAGGGAGACAGGCGTGTTTGCAGTACATGCACGCAACACGCTTGGCACATGGCGGGTTTGTAAGGCATGACTGATGCAAGGCAGTGTCAATAACCAATAAGCAGCAGCTTCCTTTCCGAATCTGCACTGCAAACAGCAGCGCTTACCTTGGGTTCGTTGTGCTGCATGACGCTGAGGATCGGCGTGTCGAGAGTGCGGCCATTCTCCTGCATGTAGTGGACGGCGCAGTTGAACGCGTTCACTCGCAACGCAGGATCAACGCCCTGTCCAAACCAAACCGCAACACCATAGCCATCGTCTACATGTATGTTGCATGGGTGTTTGGGCGAAAGGTGAATGGATGGTCACCACATGTTCTGATACACGCACTGATCTGCAGGTCGAGTCACATGCCGCACCATGTACCACACACCGCACACCACGCACCACGCATGCACGCATGCACGCATGCACGCACGACTCACCGAGGAGAAAGATTTGTGTGGACTGAAGGAAGCCTTCCAGGAGCCCTTGTTGCACACGGTCTCCAATCGCCAACTGTTGTGTAAGGGGATACACAAGGGGGACGGAGAGTTGGGTAGTGAGTGTGCATATATGCGTGTGCGCGTGCACGTGCGTGAGTGTGTGTGTGTGTGTGCGCGCGTGCCCGTGCGTGTTTGTGTATGTGTTTGCCCGTGTGTGTGTACATATCTATACACAAAGCTTGTGAATCTCAGATGGAGGGAGCATCTGAGTGTGCGCGTTGGCTGCCTCGTTTTCTCGTTTGCCACGCACCTCTGAAAGCGATGGTTGCGGTACAAGGGTCACTTGCATGAGACGTGCAACGCCTTGTGGGATGGCCTGTTCCGGGTCTGGAGCAGGCACCTCCACGTCATGCCATGTGCTGCCCAGCTTCTTGAAGAACTCGACCTCGTTATCAATGCCCTTGAACCAGTGCGTAACGCGCAGGAAAGGGGGAATGCATCGGGGTGAGCCAAGCGCCGCTTGCACAAAACACAAAGCACAAAGCACAAAGCACAAAGCACAAAGCACAAAGCACAAAGCACACACAACAACAGCTCCGTTTGTCGACTCGACCGACAAGCAGAAGCTGTACCCACACATGTAATACAGCCTCCTTTGGGGGGGGGGGGCTTGCATCGTTACGCAGCGCTCACCTGGTCCAGGAACTCCCGGCTTGGTTTGCCTTCTCGCTCATCGACCAGCCGCTGTGTGACGCCTTGCGCCTGTATGTTGTGTTGGTCGCATGCAAGATGCAGCACGCGCGAGAAAACAACAACCACGTCAGTGAATGAACGCGATGCACACCACACATGAATGCGTGCGTTTCGCACACTCACACGAGCGTTTGTGAAACATGACATGACTGAACGTACCAGAATCTTGTCTCTGGGCGTTGTGTTGCGACCATGCCAGAGCACAATGTTGAGGCCTTCGTCGATGAGGAACGAGTCTGTCACGTTGAGGCTGTCCGTGCTGATCTCGACCTCACGGGTGATGGCGCACCGCCTACCACGGCCGAGTCCTTTCACCTGGATCCTGAAAAACCGCGGCTTGTACGCCTTCGGCTTCTTGGTGCTGAAGCACTTCTCGGCGGGGCCGTTGAGCACCATGAAGCCGGGGAAGAAGGACAGGAACGACAGGCTCTCGCGGCCCATGACCTCCCGATACAGAACAGCCTGTGGCTCGCGCTGGTTTGCTCGCAAGGCCAAGTACGTGGCCAGCGCATACTGCTCCTGAGTTGCATCAGCTCCCACCCAAACAAACACCTAGAAAGCAGCCCGATACCACACGTGGCACGTCAGCTGATGAATGCAACTGACAAGAACGAGTTGTGCGTCGACAAGAATACAAGGAGAGGGAGAAGGAGGAAAGGCAGGGGGATGGGAACGTGACAGGGGAGGAATGCCTGAAGACACCTGGGTGCAGAGTCAACGTGAGAGGGCATAGTGTACTCAGCCACCACCTACGTGGGTCTTCCGGTCATTCTTCAGGGTACGGACGATCACGTAGCAATCAGCGCTGAAGAAGATGCCAATCTTGTGCTCCGGGAGCAGCTGCGTCGTGGTTGCGTCCTTGATGCGCCATGCTCGCGTGCCCTCCTCCTTCAGTCGCTTCCACTGTGTGTGAGTGTGCGTGGGGATTGGGGGTTGGGGGGTTGGTGCGCGTGAGAGAGTGAGTGTGTGGTGTGGGTGTGAGTGGGTGTGAGTGTGTGTGGTGTGTGTGGTGTGTGTGGTGGGGCGGGGGAGATGAGAAAGTGAGTGTGTGGTGCGGGTGTGAGTGTGTGGGTGTGTGCATGTATGTGCGGTGTGGTATGCATGTGTGTGTGTTTGTTTGTTTGGTGGAGCAGCGAGAAGACGAGCAGGACAAGCTTGGGCGTGTGGCGAGTTTGGGGATGAGTGTGGTGGTGAGTAATGTTCCTGAGTCGTATCTGTGGTCGACCCGAAGCAATGACAGACGGCTCGGATAGGGCGTCAAGGGAAAGAAAGTGCCGTCGTCAGCCTGACACTGCCGGCGGCAGGGATGAGACAAGGGACGGGGAAGGGAGAGCAGCACTCACAAAGTCTGCGCCGATGGACTTGAGGGCCTTCTTCTCCACTTGCGCGTCAAGAGCGCCAAGCGTGACGCAGCTCAGGTCAAGCCTTGTCATGGGGTTGGGTTTTGCACAAGCAATGCAAACAAGCGACGCGTCACAGTGTGCTTGCAGTTGTGGGCGGTGACACGGTGGTGGTGGTGGTGATGATGATGATGATGATGATGATTGTGGTGGTGGTGAATTGGGGCAAGGGGCGGGGCTTTGGCAACAACAGCGCACCCAACCAAACAAAATTCGCCCTCGTCCAAAAATTTCATGCTGTCTGGTGCGTGGGTGGGTTGTAGCCCGTGGGTTGTACCAGCAGGGTGTGTGTGTGTGTGTGTGTGTGTGTGTGTGTGTGTGTGTGTGTGTGTGTGTGTGTGTGTGTGTGCACGACAGTGATAAGCTTTGTGTACATCCATTCCATCACCTCAGCGGCAACTTGGGTTGTTTATTGCGGAAGCGTGATTGGGGAGCACTGGAGCACGTGCGACCTATTTAGAGTCCGCGGGCGCATCATGGAGCGACTCGGTGCCAAAGTTAACCAAGTCCTTGAACCATTCTTTCGTGTACACCTGGTACATGAGAGGCCGGTACTTCTGTTCAAGCACAAGCGTGGAAGCACAAAAGCACACAGACACAGACAGACACACAGAAACGCAGACACAGACAGACAGACAGAAACGCAGACACAGACACAGACAGACAGACACAGACAGACAGACAGACAGACACACGCACGCGTGCATATACCGCCGAACAGGAGGCCATCAGCAAATTGACATGAGGTTGGAAGGGATGACACGTGAACAAGCAAAAGGCAGTCGTCAATGTCACACAACTAGCGAGCATACCGAAACACGGCGGTCATCAGCGCAGGGCACGTACACGAGAGGTAACCTTCAGGCAGCACACGACAACGCACTAACAAGACGTACCGAGGCATGGCGGTTAGCAACGCCACGGTGAACAGTTCGATAGTCGAAGATGACGACATCATCTCGCCATAGGCTGTCAAAGGCCAGGGCTGTGGTGTCGACGCCGTCCTTGTCCATCTGCTGACGATTGGCTAGGAGTTGTGATCCAGGCAGGAACTCGCATGTGGGGGGGGGGGGGGAAGCGGACGGAACACACATTCGTGCACAGGAGCGGGTGTGAGTCGCTGCTACGCGTAGTCACGCGTGGTTGGGGCCTGGATGATGTGTTGCACTGGATCGCGCTGCCAGCGACGAAGGCGGGGGTATTATGCAGCCCGTCTGCTGACAGCACACGAAGTTAAACTCGTCCATGCCGCGTTGGCGGGCGGCACAAACGCGCTGCACCAGCGTTGTAACCCAACCTGAGGCAGCCCCATGTCTTTGTCGACATTCTCCAGCGGAATAAACACAGTCACGGCATGCGGTGGTAAGTGGACATGCGGAAACAAGTGGTCTCCATCCACGTGCCAGTTCTGATCCTCACTTCCTGCAAGCAGTGTGAAAGCGCACGCGTGCGTTTGTGTGCATGCGTGAGCGCGTGCGCGTGCGTGCGTGCGTGAGTGAATGTGTGTGTACGTTTTTGTGTGTGTGTGTGTGTGTGTGTGTGTGTGCACGTCAACAAACACGAGATTGAACGCGAGGCTCACAATACAAACCACGCAACTTCTGCTACAAAACCTGATTGCAGGGTGCACAGAACACACAGACGCAAATACTCATGGCTACACCAGTACACGAGCACACACAGACACACACACACAGACGCAGATACACGCATGCACATACAGCCACACTCAAACCTCACCTGGCAAGCTGACGACAACGCCGGTGTAGTTGAGCTTCATGTCCGAGCCAAGAACAGCCTGTGGTAGCGTGTTGAGCACGGGAAGACGTGCGAGGGTGGCGAAGGGCCCATCCTCCGTGTTCACGCGAATATCAAGCCGCCCACGGCACCGCGACGCCACTTCCGTGAAGGAGAACGGCTCCGTCTGGGTCAAGTAGTCTACGCCACGCGGGCGTCAATCACCTCGAGCGCGTTCAACGCAGCATCGCGCGGGATCGTGCCTGCTGGCAAGCGCACCCTGCCCACGCCCTGCGTGAACAACAGGTGCTGCAGCTGCCGCAGTGCATCGTCCAACACCAGCTCACCATCTTCCTCGCCCACAACAAGCACCGTCGCAGCGTCCGCCATGTCGTGGTTCGTCGGAGGGTCGGATCATGTCCCAAACAACACAAAAAGTAGCAACGCAAGCTGTATTCCAAGCAAGACGCGAGAGCGACAACACCCACAACAGCAACCACCGCCGCCATCAACATGGGCTGGGGAGATCAGCTTTGGGTCAGTAAGATGTGCATGTCAAGTGTGTGTGTGTGTGTGTGTGTCATGCGCGCGCGTACGTGTATACATGTGTGCGTGCAGCATGTGTGTGCGTGTGTGCGTGAGCTGTGAAAGTGCATAATGTGCGAGACATAACCATCCAACCTGTACGGCATGTGATTTGTGCTGGTTCTGGTTCGTGTATCTCCTTGTGGCTCGCTTGTTGGGTGATGCTGACCACTGCTGCCGTGCACTGCCAACCGCTCGCTTGCTTGCCTGCCTGTTTTTGCACAGGACCAAGACGCAGAGGTCTTTGCCCACGTGGATAAAGGCGCCGACTTTCTGTTGAGATGCAAAGCATTCATGCAAGCACGCAGCCACCTCGAGCTCGCCTTTGCCCGCGACCTCGAGTACGTCATTGCTCAGGCTGGAAGCACGACACACTCGATTGGGGGGGGGGGGGAAGGGAGTGGGGGCTGCGCGTTTTTCCCTTCCGCACCAATGCGCGTGTTGTAGATGAAGACACATCACACACACGCACATGCACCACATGCACACAACACACACATGCGCACGTCACATGATGCATGCGCGTTACAATCACTTACATGTTCCCATTACATTACCACCATCACTCACTTCATTTGCTGTCTCCCCTCTGCAAAGGAAACTGGTGGAGAAGTTCAAGCTGGACTCCAGCAAGCCAGACATCGCCGATGACCACAGGTGAGGCAGCGAGTCGGCGTGTGCACCAAACAGATACACTTCGCTCGCTGCATGCGCTTGCTTGCTGTATTCGAGCAGTGGTGGTGGTGCTCTCTCTCTTCAACCTCGTGTCACATCAAGCACACATCTACACATGTACAAACACACGCACTCATGGGTACACACGCGCACACATACCCACCACGCACACGCACGCACACATACCCACCACATGCACCCACACACGCACGCACACATACCCACACGCACACACACACACACGCACACGCACACACATACCCACACGCGCGCACACATGCACACTCCGCTTCTTCAACGGCTTCCTATTGAATTCTTGTATGCATTGTAGCACGCTGCAAGTGGCGTGGAACACGGTCCTGACAGAGACAACACACATTGCGAAGCAGCACGAAGACATGGCGGAGAAGTTCGTTGCAGAGGTGAGCCGTGCTTTGTCTGGACCCGCCCCCCCCCTGGCCTGAGACGTGCATGCAGTGCATGATGATGACACACCGCTTCTTTGCCACCTGCTGCGCTGGTCACCTTCACTCACTCACTCACTCACTCACTCACTCACTCACTCACTCACTCACTCACTCATCGATTGATTGATTGGTTGGTTGCTTGCTTGGCCGCCGTCACCACCGGCCAGTGTGCTGATCCCTTGCAAGAGCTGGCCACCGAGCACAAGAGCGGGCGCAAGAAGGCCGCATCAGACCTCGCCGCCGCGAAGGTGTGTGTGTGTGTGTGTGTGTGTGTGTGTGTGTGTGTGTGTGTGTGTGTGTGTGTGTGTGTGCGTGTGTGTGTGTGTGTGTGGTGCTCAAGCTGCTCAAGCTTCCCCCTTGCTTGTGCTTTGCCACTGACGGGAATCGCTCACGTGCCACGTGCGTGCTGAATGCGTGGTGTGCCACGTGTCATGCAGAAGCGGCTGGCGGATGTGCAGTCGCGTTACGATTCAGCGCGGAAACTCTACGACAAGGTGCCATGCTTGCAGGCTTTCTGCTGCGTTCACTATGGACACGGCCCCGCATAGAAAAGTTCTTCCACTCACACTCACACGCGTTGCGTACATGTGCATTTGTGGATGTGTGTGTGCGATGCGTGTGTGCAGGCGTATCGCGAGTACACTGATGTGAGCAACAAGCTGAAAAAGTTGGGCGAGGTGGGCACCAACTCTAAGTCCAAAGTGGACAAGGTCAGTGCTGTGTGTGCGTCTGTGCATGTGTTCATGTGCATGCGCGTGTTCATGTGTTTGTGTGTGTGTGTGTGTTTGTTGCGCTTGCAGGTACCTTGGTGTGCCAAGCATCAACACATGAGCAAACCCTGTTCTTGAACAATAACAACATCATCAACTCATGTCGTCCACTCATCCACACCGCAACACAAACACACACGCACACACACACAACGCGCGTGTGCGCGTGTGCAGCTGCGGCACGAGAAGAACCGGCTGCACCACGAGACGGACGCGACCAAGGGCGAGTACAACCTCCTTCGCGACGAGCTCAGCAAGGCGCAGATGTCATTCTACAACCAGGAGCAGGCTGACATCCTCAACGTGAGTTGACGCCTTGTGATGGCTGGAGCGGCTGGTCCTTTGCGATTGGTAGCTTGTACGGACGTCTGACACACACACACACACACACACACACACACACACACACACACACACACACACACACACACACACACACACACACACACACACACACACACACACGTGCATTCACTGTGCATTGGCGCATAGCTGTGCCTTTGTGTTGACATCAACCCCCCCCCCACTGTCTAACACCAAACACCACCACAACCACCACCACAACCACCGCCACCGTCGACGACAGAGCTTGGAGGCCCAGACGCATTCGCGCACAAAAGCGCACACGAATGTCCTGCGAACATACGCGCAGATTCACGAGAAGGTGCGATGTGGTGTGATGTGAGGAGTGAATGTTCGTTCACACGGCAGTCATTATCATAGTTTTAAACCACCGACCATTCTTGTCTGTTCACTCTGTTCCACAATTGTTACTTACGCAACACATGCACATGTGTGCATGTGCACGTGCAGGCGTTGCCTGTCATTGGGCAGTGCATTGCGGGCATGGTGGAGAGCCTTGATGCCGTGAGCGCAAACGACGACACGGAGCTGCTGGCAAACAACTACAGAACCGGCAATCCCATGCAGACCGAAGTGGCAGAGCACGACCCTGTACGCTCGTGTGTGTGTGTGTGTGTGTTTGTTTGTTTGTTTGTTTGTTTGTTTGTTTGTTTGTTTGTTTGTTTGTTTGTGCGTGCGTGCGTGCGTGCGTGCGTGCGTGCGTGCGTGCGTGTGTGTGCGTGCGTGTGTGCGTGCGCGCGTGTGTGCGTGCGCGCGTGTGTGTGGGCAATATTCGAAATGCGCCTCCGATGGCTCATACACACGTGCGCACATACCCTTCCCATGTGTTTTCGCCCTCCAACGTGTGCAGAGTGCGGGGACAGCTGCCCCTGCCTCGACGCTGCAGAAGATGAATGCTCGTCGGGTGATGCGCCCAAAGATCTTCAAGTCCTCACGCAAGAAGGTGTGAACACACATACACGTGGACACACAAATGTGCCGTTGGTGCTTTAATGGTGTGTGTGTGTGTGTTTACTGTGAGAGGTAGTACTCCCAAGTTCGCCCGTGTTCACGCTTGCCGCTGTGTGCATGCATGTGATCTCCCATCGCCAACACTGCACCATGACAGACTGCTGTCCGGGAGGACTTTGGGCATTTGCCCCCCGAACAGCGCCGAAAGGCAATCCTGAAGAAAGTTTCAGAGTTGCAGGAGGAGCACACGCGCGTTTCAAAGGTGCAACACAGCACGTGTATGTGGGTTGCGTATGGTGTGTGTGTATGTGGAGTTATCTGCTTTCTATGTACGTGTGTGTGTATGTGTGTGTGCGCTTTGGTTTTGTTTGAGTGCCTCCCTGCTCCTTTCCTTCATACGCACCGCACCACGACACCATTGCTCAAACCCACTCACCTTGCATACGCCAACACCACCCTTCCTCGCCGCCACCGCCATTGCAACCATGACAGAGCATGGGTGCAATGTCCAAGACGATTGAGGTGTACCGACAGCAGCCGCAGTTTGGCGACGAGCGGGCGCTGGCCAAGGCACAGAAGGAGGTTGACGAATACACCAAGAAGCAGGAGCAAGTTGCGGTCAGTCCCGTCTGTACGCCACGTCGCCATGATTCGTGTCTGCGTCACATCACGTTACCGTTGAACCACTGCGTACGAATGAATGTGCCAGCGTTTTGCTTGCGAAGCACATTGAGGACTCACGCTGATACGTGGATGTGTGTGTGTGTGCAGGGCGAGCTGTACAAGTTTCAGTTGTACCTGTGCGCGTTGCAAGGTACCGAGCCGCCAACCCCGCCCGTCGGTTACAAGTCGGAGGGATCGTCCACGTCTCTGGTGCGCGCGCGCGCGCGTGTGTGTGTTTGTGTGCGACTCAACGTGTGCCTGCATGCACCTGCGTCTCTCCCCCTGTCTTCCTTTGTCTTGCTTCCTTGCTCTCTCTCTCTCTCTATCTCTCTTGTGTATGGAATGTGGATGTGCCTGTTGCTTGAGCGGAGGCCACGTGAACTGCTCACTGTTCTGCTTCACTCACATGTACGTGCATGTGTGCATGTGCTGCTGGCATCACAGGGCGATGGCGCTGACGCAATCAGCATGGCAAGCATGAGCGCGACGTCCCAACAAGACCGCTCCCTCTCCGTCGCTTCCAGGGTGCGTGAGCGTGCACTTGTGTGTGTGTGTGTGTGTGTGTGTGTGTGTGTGTGTGTGTGTGTGTGTGTGTGTGTGTGTGTGTGTGTGTGTGTGTGAAGCAGACCACGCCACCACAATGATCGTCGTAGGTTGTGTTGCTGTTCTCACGACAACGTCCGACCACGACGTCCTCATATCCATGCATGCAACACTGCTTGTACGCTCACCTGCATCCCATCGACCAACAGCAACACATGCAACAACAGCAGCAACACCATCACGGCGACACAGATGCATCCGATGAAGAAGATGACTACGAAGACGCCGACGACTTTGAACATGTAGGCATTGTGTTGCGACGTTGCATGTCTGCGCGCATGCGTGCACGTGCTGTGCTTGTTGTGTGCACGTGCTTTGCTGTGCTGTGCTGTGTGCCGGTTGTGCGTGTGAACAACAACAACAACAACAACAACAACAACAACAACAACAACAACAACAACAACAACAACAACAACAACAACAACAACAACAACAACAACAACAACAACATGTCTGGTTTTACCGTACATGTGATGCCATGTGTTTGTGGAACCTCACAGCTGTGTTTATGGTGTGCCACTTTCTTGTGTGTTGTCAGGGTGATGACTACGGCTTTGAGGAAGTGAGTGCTGCATCACCACATCAGTGCTTGCCTTCTATGCGTGCGCTTGTTCACGTGTGATGACCGTCTGTGGCACTTTACCTGTCTTCGTGTCCTTATTCCCCTCTGTCGCTTTACACACTCACACACACCTGCTATCCCCTGCCGCATGCCTTCTGTGTGTGATTTCAACAGCAACAACAGCAGCAGCAGGCAGCTGAACCACAGCAGGTGCGTTGTCTCAGTCGTCCTTTCGGCCGTTTCGGTTGTGACCGTTCCTGCGCGATGAGAGCCACGTGCCGCATTGCCGCGCCACTTGCTTGCATGCATAAGCTATGACTCATGACTGCAACCCTCACTGCTCGACCTCTCACTGTCGTTGCCGACTTCAGCCGCCGACGATTGCGATTGGCGTTGCGCTGTATCCGTTCCCTGGAGCAAATGATGGCGAGATGCCCGTCGCGGAGGTGTGTGTGTGTGTGTGTGTGTGCGTGTGCGTGTGTGTGTGCGTGCATGCGTCTGTGTGCGTCTGTGTGCGTCTGTGTTTGCATATTTGCGCGTGTGCGTGCGTGCGTCTGTATTTCGCATGTTTGCGCGTGTGTGTGTTTACGTGTGATGATGGGGCTTCCAGTCGTGTGCCCCACACTTAAGCTACGCCCTCAACATGAACACGTACACATGCACATTGCATCCGTGTGTGCAGGGCGAGCGTGTGCATGTGCTTGAAGATGATGGCAGCGGGTGGGCGCGTGTGTTCAAGAATGGCCAGCAAGGCTACGTACCACGCGCTTATCTTCGCTTTGAGGATGCGACAGCATAACCCTCTTGGCATGGTTGTATTGTGGACATGTGTGTGTGTGTGTGTGTGTGTGTGGCTTGAATCTGCACATTCATCTTTCCCGTAGTGCTTGTGGTCCACTTTCTTGAAGGAGCCAGTGCTAGTTTGTTTCATGCCTATGCTTGCCTTGCATTCGTTTTCCTCGTGAGTGTGTGTGTGCGTGTGCGTGTATGTTGCGCACCCCCTCCCCGTCCTTGTTCAATTTTGCCCAGCACACCATGCGATTGATCATATCTGTGTTTTCAGCCGTTGTTGCAATGCTTCTTCTTCCGCTCTCTCCCTCTTGTCATGTTTGCTGTGCCACAAGCACTGCATGTCATTTCATCTTCCTCATCATTGTCATGATGTGATTTGTACCGAATATCAACACAAGTAAGCCCAACCGAGTTTTCAGCAACAACAGTAACAACAGTAACAACAGGTGCTGATGACGCAGCTGCATGTTCGCTCCATCACCCAAACAAGCATTGCGCCAGGCAGAACAAGAGCACTAGGGAAAACAAAGGGGGTTGAACAGCCACCCTCAGTATGTGTAACGCGTTGTGCACTAACGAAGGGAAGCCGCACACAAGATCATCTCATTGTCAACATCATCTCTTCAAGCGGAGTGAAGAGGTCGGGGAACGTGCTGCGCCACGCGCGCATAGCGGAGCAAACGAATGTAACGCACAGCACCAGCAGCAACCTGAGGTTGCTTGCAGCACATAGGGTAACGTGCACACACACACACGCACACTCGCACACACACACACTCACACACATACTCACACACATAGTCGATGCCTTCACATTACACGTCGGTCTCAGTGAGGGGGTCAACATCGCCACTCCACGCGTCATCATCGCCACCAGCTGTCGCGTCATGACTGCGCTTCGTGCTTGCAGGCAACTGCGTGCGATGCACGGAGAGACCAGGTGCCTCCCGTCGCACATTCTTCACATGTGCTGTGCTCATGCCGTCCTTTCCGTTGTCTTTGGTCTTGTTCACTTTTGCACCGCTGAGGCCGTCTTGCTTCTTGCCGCTCGCGTGTTGGCGCGTGCGCTGCTTGGACGGAGCAGGTGTCGTCGCTGCGCGTGGCTTTGAGGGCGTGCGTGCCTTGCTGCCCGCTGCAGTGTGTGTTGCCTTGGATGGCGTCTTCGCGGAGGACGTCGTTTGCACTGCTCCGTTTGTGGCTGCGGCGCGCGCTTGCTTTGCCTGGTTTGCCTGGTTTGCCGTCTTGGGCAACTTGAGTGTCTTTGCCTCTGCACTGCCCTTGTTGCTGGCGCTGCGTTGTGCCTTTACTGCACGTGAAGGTGAGCGGGCTGCAGTTGTTGCTCCCTTCGCCTGCTTTGGGCCGCAAGCATGTCCCGTGTTGGTGCTCTCCGTTGACGCTGCAGAGGCGGACTTGGCAGACGCTGGGCGCGGCTTGCCTGTCAGCTGGTGCCGCTGCTTCTGCTTGGCTGAGCTGGCGGTGGTGGTGCCTGGCTTCTTCTTCGGTGCGCCGTGCACGGAGGCAGGTGCAGAGACAGCAGATGGCGCCGCCTTTGTGCGATGCGGGGAGGGTGTTGATGTAGGCTTTTTCTTGGTCGAGGAAGCGTGGCCGCTGCTGCCGCCGCTGCTGCTACTGGTCTTTGCAGGTGCAGGGGTGGAGGCGGACAGGCCAACAAACCGGGGGTGCTGCTTCTTGAAACCTGCGCATGGTACGAGGTATAAGGCATGGTAGGTGTACATGCACGTGGAAATGAGTGGAAATGAGTTGAAGTGAAAGCAGACAGGGAGAAAGTCAACGGGAAAGCGAAGGGGGAAAGCGGGGGGGGGGGGAAGCGGGTGGAGACGAGTGCCATTGTTGCGTCGGGCACGGTCATGTCATGCACACGCTGGCGACCATGACCAGGACGAGGATGATGATTCAATTCATTAGGACACGTTGCGAAATATCGAATCGGTCGCATGTTCAATGTGTGCGTACCTGCGTCCGGGTTTCGGCGTTCCTTGTCCAGCGGCTTCGAAATGTAGTCCGCCACGCGCGATGTAATGTTGGACACATCAATGCTCGTTTCTACCATGTGAAGGGGCGGTGCAGTGAAGGAAGATAAGAGAAGATGGCGGTGGTGACATGGCGAGGTTGACAATGAGCTTCAAAAGCGCAGAGAGGGAGACTACCAGTGAAGAGCAGGTTTCTAAAACATGGAGAGTGTCACACACACACACACACACACACACACACACACACACACACACACACACACACACACACACACACACCTCCGTTGAGGCCAACGAATCGAGGGTGCTTTTGTTGCCGTCCACATTCTGAAAGCGCCACATGCAGAACACATCAGGACGACGAATACAGCCGGGCTCATGCAAAGGGTATACACACACACACACACACGCACACACACACACACACACGCACACACACACACACACACACACACACACACACCTGCTTCAAGGTCTGAGGTGGTGACGCGTTCCTGGATGTACTGCTTGACTTTGGATTGGATGCTGGCCAGTCGCGCCTTTCTGCTCTGCAGCCGACGCTGCCGCCACTCGGCCTTCTTCTTCTCGGCGTCGGCGTCATCCACAGCAGCGGTCGCGGTGGTGGCGGTGGCGCCAGGGCCTTCGCTGGTGACCAGGCTAACCTTGCGAGAAGCAGCGCCCGGCTCCCCTCCCTCAGCGGCATCAAGGGCCTCTTCTTCGTCTGCAGCGTGCACGCCAACGTCGCCTTGCTCGCGTTTCGGCGACACGGATCGGTCTGAAATTGGAAGGTGTGAAGAAAACGAGAGAAGATTGGGGGGGGGGGGTATGGGGAGGTTGGAGTTATTGCATGGTGCATGGTGTTATCAGTCAATACAAGCGTAAAAGAGGACGAAGACGAAACGTGTGCGTGAGTGCGGGCGGGCGTGTGTTTGCATGTATGCATCTGTTTGCACGACGCGGAAGGTAAGCACCGCAAGAAGCTTATCGCGTTACCTTTGGAGCGAATGGCCCGGCGCCGTCCAATGTGCGACAGCTCTTGCACGATGGGCCACCAAGGTTCGTCATTGCGTGTCATCTTCAAGCGCACACCAGGGATGGAAAGCAGCACCAGCAGCAGCAACAACAGCAGCAACAGTAGCAGCAAGGGAAGCGGTTGTGAGCCTCTGCATGACAATTACAACGCCAGCGATAACAGGAAAGAAATACCAGCAAGCACACAGCCGCTCGCGCACACACAAACAGACACACAGACACAGGCACACACAGGGACACACAGACACAGGGACACACAGACACACAGACACACAGACACACACACAACACGCAGCCACACACCTCCACCATGACGAGGACGGATCCCATGGGAATGTCAACGTTGTACTCGTCAAAGAGCTGGAGGGACCGGCAGCCGGGCCGCATGGCAATGACAGGACATCCCGTCTGCGCGATCACTGTCTTCTTCGTCCCAATCTTGATCCTACGTGGCACGTGATACAACATTCGCAAGACAGACAGTTGTGTGAGCGTGTGTGTGTTGGGTAGGAGTGACAGCCTGTGAGGTTGCATCATTATTGAGGAGAAACATGTGGCTGGAGTGTGCACGTAAGATGAAAGAGGGGGGCGGGGGTTGGGAGGAAGGAACGATAAAGTCACATTGTGAACATTCAACACATGCAAACACACAGACACAGACACAGACACAGACACGCACACACACACACAACACAAAACACACCAGACATGCATACAACACAACACACACCAGACACACACGCACACAACACACACACACACACACAACACACACACACTACACAAGACACACCTGGCACAGACACAACCACATACTCATGCACGTTACGTACAGAAGGGTGGCCAGCTCTGGCATGTAGATTTCGTCGCATTTGAGTTGAATGTTGAAGCTTGGGTTGAGCATGTTCTTGCCGTCGTACGTTGCCTCCTGCGCCGTGACGCAATCAAGCGGACCAGCGCTCAGCGATACGGTGCACATGATGCTGCTGGAGACCTTGGCTGAGAGTGGTAGGTGGCGGGCTTCCAGCACACGCACACGCAGGGAGATGGGGTCGTTGTTCTCGACAAAGGACTGCAGCCCACGCTCCGAGTACGGGTCAAATCCGTCTTGCAGCATGTATGCCGGCTTGGGCACGTACCCAGAGTTGCCTGCACGCACCGCGAGGCAACGCATAGCATAGATGTTGTGGGCGTCGGAAAGTTTTGTCGTGAGCATGAGCGACGCGCGAGCTCAAGGGTGGCGGTGTGCACACATGCAAACGCGCACACCAACATACAAACATTCAACACATACACACACAAACATTCAACACATACAAACACACAAACATTCAACACGTTCAACACATACATTAAACGCATGCAAACACATGCAGCCAGTCGCACAAGCACACGCGCGTGTGCTCACCGTTTCTGTTGAAAAAGTGCTTGTGCAGCCACATTTCTTCGCATGGCGTCTGCCAGTTGAGGGCCACGAGTTGGCAGCCAAAGTTCCAGTAGACCTGCGGGTCGTAATTGGCAGATTTGAAGCGGTGGTACGCGGGGTACACGCGCGTCAGGCGCTGCTGCGTAAACGTGTACAGCTTGTCGCTCGACTTGTGAATGAGGCGATTCAGCTTCTTCTCGGAGAAGGACGACATGAATGCCGCCGTGGCGGCTGCGTTGGGGTGATCAAACCCGTGAAAGCGCACAGCCTGCGTGTAGTGCACGAGCGCGCTCAGCTTCTGGCTCATTTTCTTCGACGGAGTGCGTGTCGTGGTTGGTGCAGACGTCGAGTCTGTTGACGTGGCAAACTGTGCTGCAATGCGTTGCTGTAGCGCTTCCACCCACTCCTGGCGATCTTTATCCGACATCGCACCTGCCGCGCAAAGAATGACGTGCACACATGCGAATGCACGTGTGCGTGAGTGATGACACACGGCGGGTGATGCAGTTGCACGAGCTTACATGCATGCAGCAAGTGCGCATGTGCATGTGTATGTGCATGTGCATGTGCGTGTGCGTGTGTAAGTGCGTGCGTGTTGAATGAACTGGGCGAAGATGAGCAGGGCAATATACCAATGTGGACGTGCACGCGGCTGTGATCTTCGTTTGAGCTGTTGAATGAGAGCGTAAATACAAAGCGTGGGCCATCGTCACAGCCTTTCTTCTTCTTCTTGCTGGAGATCTGCATTGCAGACACATCCACCAAATCCGACAGCAGCAGCTCGCCCGGTTTGGAATCAACCGGCCAAGAGTCCCTGGTGTACGCAGGAAGCAACAATTGCAATTGTGTGAGGGTGTGTGTGTGAGGGTGTGTGTGTGAGCGTGTGTGTGTGTGTGTGAGGGTGTGTGTAAGCGTGTGAGCGTGTGTGTGTGAGGGTGTGTGTGTGTGTGTGAGCGTGTGTGTGAGCGTGTGTGAGTGCGAGCAACTGCGGTAAACCGGCGTGCATAATCGGCACCCATATCAAGACAATCCACACAACTTCACACACCAATCTGCGCACAGGCACGCACACACACACAAACAAACAAACACACACACACACACACACACACACAAACAAACAAACACACACACACACACACAAACACACACACAAACACGCACTTGCTGGCGAGGTATTCTCTGAATTCCGCGCGAAGGCACGCTTCCTCTTCTTCAATGTTGGCAACAATCTTCATCGGGGCGGCGTACACCAGACGTTTCTGCGTTAGAATGACCACGCAGCGTGTCCAGTCGCCGGTGGCGCAGCCGTCCGCGTCATCGCTGGATTGGATGTCCAGCAGTCCACTCAAGAGCGTGTCGCCCAGCTCTTCGCGGTCCTCTTCCTCCCCCGTCATAATACTCTGCAGGAGATACGTGTGAACATATGCGCGCATGTGTGTATGTCAGCGTGTGCGCGTATGTGCGAATGTGTGCGCGTGCGTTTTGGGACAAGAGCAGCGGGTTGCAAAAAGTCTATCATCGAGCAATGCAATGGAATTCCATCAGTCATTTCGCGGGTTGCCATGGCATTCCGCTTGAAACACACACACGCACACACACACACACACACGCACACCTTCCCCTTGATGAGGATCTTTCGCTTGAGGTCGTTGGGGGACGGAAGCTTGGGAAGGGCCTCGGTTGGGAAGTTGGGCAGTGGCTCAGACAAGAGCTCTGAGCCAAAGACTTCGACGAGCATGTCGGCCAACAGGTCCTGCTGCTGCACACACAGGTGGTTCTCCAAGGAGAGAACGAGTGGGAAATCGCTCACTGCCCACGCGTTGTCTCTGATGGCAAGAAGCACCTCCTGCAGGCGTGTGTGGTTGTGGTTGTGGTTGTGGGTGGTTAGGCTGACGTGGCGGCAAACGTTGGGGGGGGGGGGGTGGACAATGGGACAGAACCAGCAACATCAGTATTGCATTGAGTGCCGCGGACGCACGCACACACAAACACAAGCAAATACGTGCGCACACATATGCACGCACCTTGGTGTCGATGACGGTGCAGCGAGCGCCACCGTGTGTGATGATGGGAAAGCCGTTGGGTCCATCCCAAAGATCCAACTCAATGCACTTGCAGCCGTCGCGAAGACAGCGAACATACGCTTCCACCGACGATTCGCCAAGATACTGCCACCCAGCTGTAGGTGTGTGAGTGCGTGCGTGTCGATGAGAGGCAGGGGATCACACGTGTAAGTTCATGAATTCATGTAGTCTTGACTGAATATGCATGCAGGCTGCTGAGAACCACTCAGTCACACACAGACATTACTCATACACACGCACGTACACACACACACACACGCGCGCGCGCGCGCACGCCTGCACGACTCACTGAGGTATGTGTTGTGTGAGGAAGAGATGAAGTAGTGTGTGAGCGGGGCATCCATGGACGGCTCGTGAACGGAGAGGAAGGAGGGGTGAATGAGGCAGTTGGCCTTGCTGTGCAGGTAGTCCAGCACAACAGACACGTGTACACATGTGTCCGGGTTGTTGGACATGAGGGATTTGAGCTGGCTGATGCGCTTCGAGCGGCGGCGCGGCACTGCTGCAATTGCCGTTAGCTCATCTGCCTCCTCAGCACGCATCGCATCAGCATCCTTGTCACCAGCGTGTTCGTGTGGCTGCGGTTGCTCCTGCTCCTGCGACCGCTGTTGTTGGTGCCGTTGCGGCTGCGATTGCTGTGTTGTGTCTTGTTGGTTGGCCTCTGTCTCAGCACGTCCATCCTCTTCTTCCACTGGGTCCTGCTTCCGTAGCGCCTTTGACCGTCTTTCCTTGGCCGGCGCCAAAGCAGCATCGGCACCCTTGCTCTTGGTGTTGGAGTTGATGGCGTGGTCGCCTTGTTGCCCGGCAGCTGTCTTGTTTGCGACAACAGCACCTTTGGCCTTTGTTCTCTTCGGCCTTGTGTTTGATGGTGTTGTTGTTGCTGCTGGCTCGGAGGACTTGGTGGCATGTTTCTTTGCCTTGCCACTTCCGTTCTCAGCAGCACGCGCCATTGTCGCGCCACTGCTCTTGTGGGCGGCTGCGGCTGCTGCTGTTGCTGTACCACTGGGGCGCTTGCTGCCTGTACTCAGCTTGCTCGAAGCAGGGCGAGGTGTTGTGGGTTTCCCCGCCGACTTGCGGGTGCTCTTGGCCACCGCTGACACTGGGCGCGCACCGGCCTTCTTCTTCGGTGAACGCAGCTGTGCTGACGCAGTTGACGTTGAAAGAGACGAAGGTGCATGGCCGCGTGGTTGTTGCTGGCTACGCGTCTTGCTGCCCGCAGCAGACGCCGTGCGCCGGCTCGACGCTGCTGCAGACCCACTCGCTCGCTTGGACGCAGGCTTTGATCCAGGCTTGGACGCAGAGGAGGATGGTGATGGTGATGATGATGATGATGATGGTGATGATGATGATGATGCTTGTGTGGCGGGCTTGCTGCTCTTCTTCTTTCGCAGCTGGGCTGCGCCTGTGGTGCTTGCCGCAGAGCCACGCTTGGTGGAGGAAGCAGAAGCAGTTGCTGATGGTGTTTTGGTGTTGTGGCTTCGCCTTCCTCTCGCCGACACGGCCGCTGCCATGACTGCCGCGGTGTCATTGTCATCATCCGCATCACCTTCGTTCGCGCCATCGACGCCATCACCAACAGTTGCCTGTTGTGCTGCACCGTCAGTCTGCTGGTGCTGGTGGTGGTGTTTGCTCGCTGGTGCAGCTGCTTCTTCTTTGGCCTCGAGCAACGGAGCACCTGTGACTGATGGTTCATCATCATCAGCAGCTGCTGACAATGCAGCTGATGTCTCTGTCGTTGTATTGGTGCGTACACTGTCGCCGAGCATGTCTGTGGTGCTACTGGCATGTGAGCTTGGCGGGCTAGCCCACGTCGCAGACCTCCGCAGTCGCGACTGCCTCCTGCTGCCCACTGCGCCGAGATCACCCACAGCGTCGTGGTCCTCCCCGTTTTCGCTGTCGCTGCGCTTACGCTGGCCCCCACGGCGTCGCACGGCCGAGTTGTTCCGTGTTGTCTCCCCTGCTGTGCTGATTGTGCTGTGGCGGGCAGTGGACCGCGAGGAGGAGGAGGTGGTGGCCACGTCAAAGGCAAACGCGTGCGCTGGGGCGCCAATCGGGGGAGCGCTGAAGAGGGAGGTGCGGGAGCCAGGTGTGGAGGCAAACAGGAGCGACGAGACGGAGCCACGGGAGATGGCAGAGGGCCTTCGCGAGCGCATCACATCGCGCAGCGGGTCAAGCACGTGCGCAATCACTGCCTCTGTTCGTGTCAGCGACTCGTTCTGCACGTCGTGGAGGAAGTTGGAGAGGGATTCGAGTGTGAAGGTGTACAGGTCAAACGGGGTCACCCCACACCCCGCCTGCTTCTGGAAGCAATCAGAGCTCTCTGCATCGTCGCCAAGAGGGGATGAGCGGCCGGGGAGCTTTCGCCCCGTGATTTTGTTGGTGACGTGGCGCCGAAAAATGTCATCTTCAAACACCTGGCGTGTCGTGGTGTGAGGGAGTGCGAAGGGGGGGGGAGGTCAGTGAACGTACAACAGCATATCGTACTGAAACAGTCATCCAGTGGATAGAATATGTGTTGACAAACGCAGACAGAGAGACGCACGAGGGATGGAAAGACAGCAACGCAGACACACAGACACACACAGACACACACACACACAAACACACACGCGCGTACACAAACACAAACACAGGCACAGACAGACACACACACACACACACAAACACCCACAGCGTACCCAATCCGAGTGTTGCATGAGCAGTGCCGTGTAAACAGCAAAGAGGCCATCCTCTGCGGTCCAGTCTTCCTCATCGTCATGCGCATGCGAGTTGTGACAGTCATTGCTGTCAACAGCAGCACCACCAACACCTCCATTGTCGGGATGGTCGTTGCTGCCGGCGGCGTGTGCCGTGTTTGCAGCATCTGTCGTGTTCTGGTTGCTGCTGTGGGTGGCTGCTGCTGCTGTGGTGGACGAGCAAGCGGAGGATACGGAGGAGGTTGAGTCCATGGACTTGCTGAGCGGGAACATGCTGACGGGGCGTCGCTTGTCTTCGCTCTCTCGCCGCGACGACTCGTTGGATGACTGGTGCCCGCCGCCTGCGGATGCGCGCGAGAGGGCGGTGATGGCGTCGCGGATGACGTCCGACACCTGCGATGCAGTGAGTTCAAGGCCAAGCCCCTTGGCGAGCGTGGTGATGACGGCGGGGCTGAGCACGGCGTTGGACTGGTCGCGGAGGCGCGCGTCAACCTTTGAACGCGCGTGCAGCCAGAGGCGGTGAAGGAGCGTGGGCAAGGTGTGCTCGTCCAGGCGGGATGGCACAATGTCGCCCTCCGGGTTCACCAGCAGGTGGGTGCGGGCCTCCACAAACTCGTGCAGGCGCATGTGCCACGACTGGGCCGTTTCTTCGTTTGGCAGCTTGAAGCTTGTGCTCTGCGGCACGAACTTGCTGCCATGAAACACGATCAAGCCGCAGTCCTCTGCCTGAAGCTCCTTCAAGTTGCCCGCAAACTTCTCACTTGCACATGCCTGTACATAATATGCATGTGTGTGATGGGGTGGAAAGGGAGGTGGGACATGGAAGCAACAAAGGAGTGGGCTGCGGTGAGCAGGTGTGGCAACTTGGTTGATGGGTGGCAATGGACCGACAGCGCATGGCTACAGCCTTCAACATGCACGATTGCTCGGTTGCACACAGCCTTGTGCACAGGCTAGTGTTCACACAACTGTCACACACACGCACGCACACACACACACACACACACACACACACACACACACACACACACACACAGGCATTCACCGTTGCACAGACTCCCAGCACACACACACACACACACAGACCGACAGTGACAGATACAGGGGCATGCAGATGTGCAGTACCTGGAAGCCATAGCGCACGTCCTGGACGGAGAGCACGTCAATGTATGGCTGGACGTTCTTCGGCATCTGGGCTGGGTCGTGTGGCTGGAACACGAGGAACAGCGTGGCCACCTTGAGCGAGAGGTGGCCGGGGATACCGTGTCCATCGTGGAACAGGACGGCCTCAGATGCTTGTGGATGTTCAACCGACTGCTCCTCTGCTACAGACTCTTGCACCACGAGCCTCTGTGACACATGACAATCGCCAGGGAGATGATCGGGCGGGTCAACGGCAAACGAAGCAGCGACAGTCAGAGAGTAAGCGCAGTGACAGTATGGTCACGCATGAACGCATGTATAAATGCACATGTATAAACGCAGAAGTACGAACAGGTGCATGTGCGCAGAAGTATGAACGCATAAGGTCACACACATTCAGACATACACACACTTGCACCCACCCACCCACACCCACACCCACCCTCCCCCCCCCCACACACACACACACGATGGCAGGCACGAGCGACTGACTTGGCGTTGCTGGAGGTCTTTCTTGTCTGCATGATGGTTTGAACGCCACCACTTCATCTTGGAGAAGAAGCCACGCACGCGTTTTGGCGAGCGCGAGGTGGAGCCTGAAGAGACTGCGGGTGGCAGCTCAAACGCCGCGTCCCCATGCTGATGGTTGGTCTTGTCCATGGTTGTTGGTTGTTGGCTGCTCTTGCTGGCGCTTCCGCCAGTGTTATCGTTGAACAACCGCTGAGGTGAAGTAGAATGAACACAAGGCGGGGGGGGGGGGGGATGAGAGTTGTGAGTTTGCTGCTTGCGAGTGCAAATGGGAGATGCGACATGCATGGCCCTCGTGCAAACAACCACGCAGACACCCATGCACATGCAGCAGGCAGATCCACATCCACGCACACCAACACCTGAGGCAGGGAAGACTTACTTACTCTGCAAACAAGCAAGCAAGCAAGCGCGAGGTGCAAACCAAACACAGACGACGGCGTGGAATGACAGGCAGGCAACAGACCAAGACCAGCCAGCCAGCCAGCCAAATGTTTTGGTTTTCCTGTTCGCCTGCTTTCGCTTGCTTGGTTGGTGTGCGACAAGCAGTACCGCTACTACCAACCAACCAAACACTCAGTCTTCCTTTTGGGCCACTGTTAAGCGTGCATCGCATCACACGCAACGGCGCATATTGTGCTTGAATTTGATGGGAATTTAGTGTTCAGGACCATCGAGGCTTCGAAGTGGGCATCGTTGTCGTCAGGTTTCGCCTGCGCTTCTTGGTGTCGTGACCGCCCCTCAACAACGAACCCAGGCGAGGACTGAATTGAAATTTCCCCCCAAACAAAAAGCCCACAAACCAACCAGCAGCCAGTTGCATTGATGGTGGTGGTTGTGGTGAGCCGCGACAGCACGACAGCACGACAGCACGACAGCACGACAGCACACACACACACACATAGCACAGCACACTGAACGAACAGCTGAAGAAGGCCTCACCACGCGACACTGGTGGTGGTGGTGTTGTTGTATTTCTTACAACGTTCGTGAGTCACATCACTCACCAAAACAAGCGAGCTGGCTCGCCACTCACTACCGCCTACATCTCTCCCACACACACACACACACACACACACACACACACACACACACACACACACACACACACACACACACACACACACACACACACAAACACAGACATAGACACACATAGACACACACACACACACACACACACACAAACACACACACACACACACGCAGACACGCACAGACACACACACACACAACGTCAAGGTCACGATTGTTTGTTCCGACTAGTCGTACCTGGGCGAAGGAGTCATGGAACTGCCACCGTCGGGGCCACAGCGGCGGCCTGGTAGCTTCCAGAACATCCTGCGTCGAGGAGGATCTGCTTCGCATAACAAAGCCGACACGGACGATGATGACATCCAATACGAGCTGCGGGCGCCAGTGCGTCGCCCATCCCTCTCCCACGGCATCTCGGCCGCCAGAAGCATCCCACGCTTCTCCAGCCCACATCACCACCAACGCCACAGCCACAGACAGGGCGGAAGCGACAGTGACGCCAATGACAACGGCGATGGTGACGATGACGACTACGAAGACGAGGATGAGGACGATGTTGGCGTTGGCGTTGGCGCTGGTGAGGGCAGGGCCCACCGCAACCAGCTGGCAGACGCCGACGATGAGGATGAGGGCGACGAGGACGAAGAGGACGCTGACATGGCGAGCGACGAAGATGACATGACCAGCAGCGCTGAAAAGGCCATGCGCCGGCTTCACGGCCACGTCGGCACCACAGTCATGGAGTCGACCACTACACCAAGCATCCGCATCCTCAGCGACAGCCGCACACAAACCTTGCAGCGAGGCACGTCCCCGTTTCATCTGCACCCCGACGCACCGCTGGAACAGCAGGCCCAGCACTTCCAGCAGCAGCAGCAGCAGCAGAACCAACAAGAGCAGCAGCACTTTGCAGCGCCCGAACACAGCGACGGACGACAACTTACCCCACCAAACCAACCCAACCTGCTAGCACCGCCCAGCGTCTTCGACGATGGCCTGGACGGCGAATCCGAAACGGACCCAGCCGACGCCCTCCCTGTCCCAAGTGAAAGCGTGGCCGCTGATGACGGCACCGTCATCCCCGGCAGCGTACAGCCCGCACCCTCACCACCCCATACACCCCAGCTCCAGCGCCAGGCGCGACGCACCCAGCACCTGGGCAGCTCAACCTCCTCCACACGGCCCCTCCTGCTGCACACCGCATCATCGCCCTCGTCCTCGTCGCTCCAGGCATCCCCGATGGCCCACTTTCGGTCCAACAGCGACAGCATCAACAACGACGACGACAACGGAAGCAACAGCAGCACGCCTCGTGTTAGCACCCCGAGTCGCGTGCGCACAGCGAGTGGGCGGCGGCCTGCACGCGCACGCACGCGCGGCCTGTCGTTCCGCAATTCCAGGTTCGGGCGGTTTCTCTTCCGCAGCAGCACCATCGACAGTGACTCCATGCCCATGACAGACCCGCGCCTCCCGCACCCACACCTGCACCCACACCACCTGCAGACGCTGTCCAAGTCCGGCCCAACGCACCTCAGCACCGCGTCCATCCAGACAATCGACCTGGACCCCGCAGCATCGCGCCTGCCGCCGCAACAGCAGGAGCACCTTGTCGTGATAGACCATGAGGACGGCTCACAAACCCGCCACCGCCACGCCGTTCCCGGCGCCGCTGCTGCAGCGGGCCACCGTGGCCGACGCAAGACCCGCACCCTTAGCAGGCTTTCGTCCGTGTTTGGCGGGTGGAGGTGGGGCTCGCGCTCGGCGCAGCCGCCAGGCATGCCTCCCGGTGACAGCGGCGGCAGTAACGCGGGCGGCGGAAAGGGTGGCGATGGTGATGGTGGTGGTGGTGGTGGCAAGACGGAGAGCGAGCTGACAAAGGCAGAGATTGACCGCTTCTTCGCTGCACACTATCGCATCATCGATGCCGCACACGGGCGCGACAAGCACGGCATCCTGTTTGCAAAGGCCAGGGGCCGCATCCCTGAGCTCTTCTTCAACGTCCGAAACTCCAGGGCCTACGGCTACCTGTTTGTGTTCATGGTGCTGCTGCACATCATCAGCGCGTACTTCGAGGACTTTCGTCGCACGGGCTATTGGGTGCCACCCGCGATTGCCGTGCTCTTCTACATTGCCGACAGCGCGATGAAGATGGCGTACATGACGCCGCGCGATTACGTCACCAAGCGCTGGAACCAGATCCACGTCATCTGCACCCTCCTCTTCTGCATCGACTTTGGGCTCATGCTGGCGGGGCACGTGCAGCCGTTTCGGTTGCTCCGGCCCTGGATCTACCTCAGCAAGGACAAGGAGTTGCGTCGCTTCTTCCAGGCGCTGGTGGCCATCCGCACCACGCTCGCCCTCCTCTTCCTCTACTTCTTCCTCTACGTCTTCTTCTTTGCCGCCATTGGTGTGCATCTGTTTGACGAGGCATACAAGACCACGTGCGCGCAGGCAAACATCGACGTCTCCGGCGCCTTTGACAACGTCCTCATCGCCTTTGTGCACATGCTAACGCTCAGCACGACAGAGAACTACCCCAACATCATGCTGCCCGTGTTTTACGAGCGGTGGTCCGGGTTCATCTTCTTCGGACTCTTTGTCCTCCTCGCCCTCTTCTACGTGCTGCCCATGGCGCTTGCGCTGGTCAACGACTCGTTCTGGCGCGCACAGGGCCTGCAGTGGAAGAAGGACCGCAAGAAGGAGCGCAAGACCCTCATCAAGGCTTTTAACATGCTTGACGTGCATAGCGTGGGCTGGCTCTCCCTCGACCAGTGGTGCACGTTCCAGGGCATTGTGCGGCCCAAGCTGCCCCGCTCGGCGCACCAGCTCACCTACAAGCTGGCCTGCGCCGGCAAGCCCGTGCTGGACTGGGAAAACTTCCTGGAGATCACCAACGTGCTCAAGGCCAAGCTCAAGGCGCGCCGCAGCGAGTTGCGGCCCATCTCCGACAAGTGGAAGCCGCTGCAGCAGCGCGTGTATGCGCTCGTGCGCTCGGACACATGGAACGCGTTCATCTGCTCGCTGGCCGTTGTGCACTGGATCACCTTCTGCCTCAAGTGGGAGGGGCGACCTGGGTGGGTGCCGGAGATTGTCGGCTCTGTGCAGACCTTCAACGTCGTGTGCTTCATTGTGGAGATTGCGCTCAAGGTTTTTGCGCACGGCTGGAGGTTTGAACGTGACGCGGCCGTGTTCAAGATCCCCGTACACTTTCTCGAGTACATCTTTGTGCTGGGGAGCACGGTTGCTGTTGCGCTGTTCTGGGCTGGCCAGTGCGGCGATGGCATATGCGCCATCCTGGGCGGTGGCGGCCAAATCCTCCGCCTGACCTATCGCTTCAAGAGTAACCTGTCCTTCCTGCAGATTGTGGATGGCATCCTGGAAATTTCCTTCAAGGTCATCTCCATCATCGCCTTTGTTGTGTTCTCCTACGCCGTGTTGAGCTACGAGATTTACCGCGATGTGCCCGCGTTTGAGCCGTACTACTGCGCGCGCAACTTTGACGAGAACCACTGCGTGCTTGAGCCCTCTGGCGATATTGTCGACCCGTCTGGCAACTCAACGACGGCCATTGAGGGCAACTTCGACTCGCTCGCGTGCAGCTCATTTGTCATGTTTCAGCTCTTCACCACGTCGGACTGGCACACGCTCATGTTCACTGTCGCTGAATACCGCACGCCCTGGGACTCGCTCTTCTTCATCTCCCTGTACGTTGCTGTGTGTTGCATGTTGGGCGTTTGTGTTGTGGGCATCGTTCATATGCATGCGAGTCGCAACTGTGCGTGTGTGTGAGCTGCATCTGTGTGTGTGCGTGATGTAGCTGCCTGTGTGTCATGTGTGGTTTTGCGAGAGTGTCCTTTTGTGTGTTGCAAATGTTCGCGTGGCTTTTCGTGTCCTCACTCACAGCCAACTCCTGTTGTCCTTATCCGTCTTCCCGGGCGCCAACTCAGGTTCCTGCTGCTGCAAGTTGTGCTGATGTCGCTGATGGTCGGTACCTCCATCGAGGCGTTCTTCCTCATTCGCGAGAACAGAACAAAGGCCAACAAGAACAAGAACAAGCAGGGCAGCCAGGGCGCGGATGGTGGTGGCGGCGGCGGCGGCACGAACGGAGGTAAGAGGGAGTTCGCTACGACCGAAACCATGTGATGCACTGATTTGCATACATTCACGTGGGCCTGCGCGGTTCGGCGTGTGCTTGTGTGCTGGTGGCTCATGACCTTGTTGTCCGCGCTATTGTGCACGTGAATGTTATGCTCGCGTTCCTATTCCTCACGGACACTGCGTGCACGTTTGCGTGCCTGTGGTCGCGAATCGTCACCAGAAAAACGACAGGGCTCCAAACTCAAGAAGCGTCTGCTGCACTCCGTTCAGCGTCTCAGCCTCTTCAGCCGAAAGGTGCGTGACATGTGCATGCGTGTGTTTGCATGTGCGTGTGTGTGTTTGCACGTGTTTGTTTGTATGTGTATGTGTGCAAGCAGCCCTTGCGCTTTTGTCTCCTTGTGGACGAAAATCGTGTTTGCATGGGCAGTACGTTCTTGCAATAGCAGCCACTCGTCACATTTGTCCATACCGCCACTCGCAGTTGCTTACCTTGCTGCCACCTTGCGCAAATGGCATTCATTGCTCCCACCCTTGCTTGCTCATGCGCTTGCATTGTCTTGCTCGTTTTGGTTGCGACAGCGCAAAGATGCGACAAGCAGCATGGTGGTCAAAGTCACGCCTGCGGATGGCACAACCGGTGACGAGCACACGCTCGCCGCAGATCAGTCGTCAGGTCATCCCCACGTACAGGTACGTGTGCATGTGTGTCCGAGTGTATATGTATGTGCGTGTGTGCGTATGTGCGTATCCTTATATGTGCGCGTGTATCCATATGGGTGCGTGTCCATACGCGTGTGTATGTGTGTGTGTGTGTGCGTATTGGCACGTGCTTTCGAAATGCAATTTGAAGAACGTTCTGTCCTTTGTTTCAAGTTAGTCACGCCACCACCACTTGCGCTCTATCCATCATTGCGGCACCATTTTTCAAAGGAACCCCAAGGGCATTTCCAGGATCAGGTGGCGCAACGACGACGAAAGCTCGGTTTGTTTTGGATGACGACAAGGCGTGTGTGTGTGCATGTATGTCTATGCGTGTGCGTGTGTGCGTGTGCGTGTGTGTGCTTCTTTGCATGTGGCGTATTTCTGTCCAGCTCAATCGCGGTGTGATGACATTTCGATACCCAGACCAAATGATGTCATTCACCCCACCCGGCGCTTGATGTGGTGGTGTTGCTCACACACACACACACACACACACACACTCACTCACTCACTCACTCACTGACTCACTCACTCACTCACTCACTCACTCACTCACGCACTCACGCACTCACGCACTCACGCACTCACTCACTCACTCTCTTGTTCTGTAGAGCAACGCAAAATGGAAAAGAAGAAGAAGCGCAAGGAAAAGCGGAGCGGCAAGCTGCCGTCACGCTGTGTTGCCATTGTCAATGAGAAGATGCACAAGGCAGGCGACCTTCCTCTTGTCAAGGTTCGAGCTTGTGTTGCGATCTGCGCAACATGCATGTTCCCACGTTTGCCCCCGTCTTGTGACACGACTGCGCTTTCGCTTTGTTGATGCTTGTGAAGGCTGGAACGGTGTCATCACATTCGTGCGTGCGCGCGTGTCTGTCTGATGCATCTGATGCATGCACCACATATGACGCTCTCTTGTTTCTTCTGTATTTATTGTCTCTCATGTGTTGAATTTTCATGACAAACCAGGGTGACGTGATTGACATTCTGGATCAGAAGGATGGCCGATACAAAGGTGAGCTTCGTGTGCGCGGAGACGAGAGAAAATAAACCACAGGGCAGAAGGATGTATAGTGTGTATGTGGTGTGTGCGGAGTGTGCGGTGTCATGTGTGTGTGTGTGTGTATGCAACACCTCTTGATCTGCACGGGTTTGGTGAGTGTGTGGTCATCATCCATATTCCATGTCAGCGTGTCCTTGATCATCCACGCTGACGAGGCACGTCATTGTTCGCTGCCATCACTGTCACACCACCACCGTATTGTTCCGTTCAACACCAGGAAAATGTCGCGGGCGTGCTGGCTGGTTTGACGCCAAGTGTGCGCTTGTTGTTCTTGACGAAGACATGATGCACGCGCTGGAGCAAAACTCCGACGTCAAGTATGAGTTCCAGCAGCAGAAGTCACACGTTGCGCAGACAACTGATGACTTCCTCATCATGAACTCGGTTCGTTTGTGGGATGCTTTTTGTGACGGTTTGTTTGTTTGTTTGTTTGTTTGTTTGTTTGTTTGTTTGTTTGTTTGTTTGTTTGTTTGTTTGTTTGTTTGTTTGTTTGTTTGTTTGTTTGTGTGTGGTTTTGTGCGCAACTTATCGTATCATTTTGCAGTTGCCTCACAGACAATTACAACACTCACAACACGTCTTCACCACCATCACCCATGCACGTGTGGCTCATGTCCTCCTTCCACTGCCGTGTTGTGTTTGAGCAGGGCGTGTCAAGGCGAGACATGGTGTCCGACAAAATCACGAACATGAACGCTGATGAGTTGATTGAGCTCAACAGTCTGGCAAAGGCCAACCTCTTTGCCCGCGGCTTCAACAAGATGGTACGTCCATGCATGTGATGTGCAGCTGCACCAAGCAAGCAGTGCTTGCTGATCATCTCATGTTGTGCTGCCCTGTGTTGTGCGTTCTGGAACCAGCATTCTGCTCCCTCTGCACGTGGTCATGAGATCATCTGATTCACCTACTTTGTCGATTGACCCATCTGCTGCAATCACACACACACACACACACACACACGCACACACACACGCACACACACACACACACACACTCTCTCTCTCGCTCTCTCTCTTGTGTGTGCTTTGGAACTCACCAACTCCCTCCCCAACGCATGCCAATGCTGATTACACTCTGCAGAAAACGCCCCTGCGCCGCAACAAGGTTGGCCCGAACAGCGCAAACCCGAACGACAGCAGCGGCGGCGGCGGTGTTGGTGGCGGGTCACTGCCTCCATCACACAGGCGGCATGATTCAACGTCCAGCGCTGCCGCTGGTGACGGTAATGAACACAACAACAACTTCAAGAAGAAGCGACGGTCCTCTCCAGCAAAGATTCACTTTAGCCAGGAGCCTCCAAAGGGTACGGCTTCCTGAGCACGTTGTGCGCTGCGCTGTTGTCTTGTTATTTTTTTGTGCTGCAGTCTTGTCAACCGACATACGCAGATGTGCCAGTGTTTGGACAGGGCTTGTGCGCTGTACGCCATGCAACCAGGCTTTCCATGCACACACACACACACACACATCCATTCCTTCTCATGCCGCCTTTGCTCACACAACACTTTACAACACCAACTGCAGCTGGGTCCATATCCATCAACTCAAAGGCGAAGGAGCTTGCTGCCAGCTTCAGGCGCCGCTCCATTCAGCACCAGCAGACCCTCCAGCCGTTTGTGGAGGTGGAGGAGGACGAAGCAGATGCAGCTGCTGCCGCCAACCACGCCCCAGCCCCAGCCACAGCCACAACGACGACCACCGCCAACAACAACACCAACAACAACACCAACAACAACAGCAGCAGCACTAAGAGTGACGACACTCCAACGATCATGAGTGGATCCTCCATTTCCAGCACGACGTCCAGCGGCACCAAGAGGTCCTCTGGCCTGCATGCTCTCCGCGACATAACGCGCGAGCGGCACACACCATCGCCGCGCGGCCGCCTCTCTCCGCCCATTCGCTCGACCTCCACGCCTACAGACAGTGACTCAGAGACCGTCCATGAGGTGTGTTGCGTGTACACTGCGTGCGCGCTCCATGTGCACTGCGTGTGCGTTGCGTGTGTGCTCCGTGTGTGCTCCATGTGCGTTGCGTGTGTGCTGCGCATGTGTGTTTACTGACGTTTATCCTGCGTCACTTGTGTGCGCATGCAAACACGACCGTGTGCAGGAGCGCAAGGCTGCGTTAACGCGTGCTGCCAAGTTGGCAGTGCAGGCGATGGAGGCCATGCCGCAGAAGTCGGCAATGAAGACATCTGCGCCATCGACCATCACAGACCCAGACGAGCTCACAAACACGTCCCGGTCAAGCAGGAAGAAGGTGTGTGTTTGTATGTGTGTACGTGTGTTCGTATGTGTACATACGTGCGCGTGTGTACGTGTGTTTGTATGTGTACGCACGTGTGCATGTGTGGACGCGCGTGCATATATAAGTATATGTGTGTGTGTGCACTTTGCTTTACAACCACCACAGTCGTCGTCATTGTGGCCGTGTGAGTGCTGGTTGTTGGTGATGAAGTGGCTGGAAACACGCGCGTGCGTGCTCCGCCATCTCCGCTGTGTTGCACAACGCTGCTTCGCCACGTCTCACGCGTATTTTGTGTGCATGTGCGTGTGTCATATTCAGGTGCTGTTTGCTGCCAGTGTCAAGCAGCAAGACGGATCACGCAAGGATTTGGAAATTGCACAACAGAAAGAGAAAGCAAGACAAGAGGTACGCTTGTTGCTTGTGTCACTCGAATCAATATGTTTGAGTGCACCGATACGTACCATGCTGATGCATGTGTATGTGTGTGAATGCATTCAATATATCCACACACGCACACACGTGAGCATTTGCATTCACACACACACACAAACACTGGTGTCTTTCGCATTCAACGTTGTGTCTCACACATATGCACGCTGCCTGCGCTCAACTCTGCTTCATATTGCTGTCGTTTGGACAGGGCAAGCCACCAGACTGGATCCAGTCGTTCCTTCAGAAGAAGAAAGTGAAGGTGGTTGAGGGAAGCCTTTCACCACGACCAGAAGAACAGCAGGGCGAGAGGAGCGACGCTGGCGACCGTGCTGCTGCTGCTGATGATGATGATGAGGACGACGAGGTTATGCGCGCCGTTGCAAACAGGCGTGCGTCGTTGGCGGTGAGTCGGCGTTATCCTTGCCTTGTCTGCCCTCTCGTTCCGTGCTGACCGTGGTGTGTGTGTGTGTGTGTGTGTGTGTGTGTGTGTGTGTGTGTGTGTGTGTGCGTGCGTGCGTGTGCGTGTGTGTGCGTGCGTGTGTGTATGCGTGTGTGTGTGCGTGTGCGTGTGCGTGTGTGTGTGTTGTGGTCGACCCATGCCAATTTGCGCCAACCCGCACATGACATGGCGGCACTTTACGAGACGCTGTGTTGTTGTGGCTTGTTCCTATTGCTCACCCTCATCGTACCTGCTTCTGTCGCCACTGTGTATCGTCTACCGCGACAGGAGCGACCGGGGACACCGCACACGCGTTCCCCAACAAGCTCGCTCAGGGAGAAGCCAGGCCCAAGTAACAGTAACAACAAGCCAACAGCAATCGCAACAACGGCTGGTGGTATGCGGGCACGGTCCCCACCACCCATGACAGACAAACCTCCACCGTACGACACGCTTGCCTCGCCATCATCCACCATCACCTCCACCATCACCTCCACGACTGGTGGAGCAGCAATGCAGCAGAGGGGGCAGCAGACAGGGCTGTCAACATCAGCCACGTCGCTCATGTCAACGCTCTCCTCGTCATCGACGGGCGAGAGCGACAGTGCACGTGCGCGGCGACAGAAGAAGTTGGAGGAACAGAAGCGAAAAAGGAAAGCGCGCAACGCCAAGCAGCGACAGCAAGGGCAGTCGCCGCAACCCTCGCTGGACGGCAGCAACAGCAGCAGCACGACTGCTGATGCAAGCACGGCCAACCAAGGGGGCGGTGAGCACCGCAGCGGAAGTGGCAGTGGTGATGGCAACAGCGCACATGCAACTCCCTCTTCGCCAGCGGCGACAACATCCCCGTCACCGCAAATTCAGCTGAACACGCGCGAGCAAGCGATGCAGCAGTTTCGAGCGGCGATGGCTGAGAAGCAGCGGTTCGTGAAACAGGCAGAAGGGGCGAAGAGCGACACCAGGGACAGTGACAACGACGCTGACGGCGACCAATCGTCGTCCTCGAACCACCTGGCTGTGCCCGAATCGCATGCTGGCACTCGCAGGAGCGGCAGCGAGGACGATGATGACGATGATGGCGAAGGAAGCACGGGCGGTTTTGACGTGATGGCCCAGCTCAACTTGATCAACTCCCAGCTGGGTTGATGTGTGTGTATTGTGTTGCGCGTGTATATGTGCGTGTATGTATGTGTGTGTGTGTGTGCGTGTGTGTGTGTGTGTGTGTGTGTGTGTGTGTGTGTGTGTGTGTGTGTGTGTGTGTGTGTTGCTGAGCTTGTTGTTGGAGGCTGCTTGGATAGCAACCAGGTGGTGGTGTCTGAGACCACTCCAGTTGGTGAATGTGTGCGTTGTGTTCGAGCGATTTTGTACATATGTGTGTGTTTGTTTACCAAGGCAAGGTTTGTGTGCCATCTGCCTTGGTCTTGTGCATTGTTTGGTTCAGTTCAGACAGTTTGCGATTGAGGGCTTGCTTGCATGTGTATGTGCAGCACCCCCTTGATCCGTGTTGCTTTGTTTGGAGGGAGATGGGGTGCAAGGGTGTATCACCAGATTGACTCTCATGTCACAGAGTAAATGACTGCTTTCCTCGCCGTCCCCGTCATTCATGGCCATCACAATCAACTCGTTTAATTGCAACGCTCCTCTGGTTTTGAACGTGTGTACACACGGCAATGCCACAAGTACAGGAGGCAGATCCTGTTTGGTCGAGCAGGAAAAGGGAGAGGAGGGGTGAGGAGAGGTGATGCGAATAGCAGTTCAGGACACAACAGCGTAACATCCCGAAACCAGCACGATAACACTGCAGCTCGCCTGGTGAGTGAAGCACCCGCAAGTACACACACACACACACACACACACACACACGCACGCACAAAATACATACGCACA